GGGGAGAGAACAAGGGAAAAATAGCTTAAAATAATGAGAGTTTTGAATTGTTTTACTATATGTTATCCATATATTAAAATTATACCACTAACACTCAAAAATATTATGTAATAAGATGTTAATTAAAATTAAGTGATTTATAGACTTTATACTTTGAGAGTATATATGTGTCATGTGCAATTGTTAAACAAGTAGACAAGAATGAACATCTCAAAAGCAACATTGAATTTTCTTGATTTGGCCTCTGAGGTGCAGAGAAAAAACTTTTTTATTTGAATTATTTCTGATTAGAATTTTTAGTGTTCTCTTATATTCCAGGATAAGGAAAATATGGCCTTATAAAAGAGAAATATCTGACAACTGAAACCCTCAGAATGTCAACAGCTTTTGGTCAATATATTCATATTGTATTGTAGCCTAAGTGTCCAGAGCTCACAGTCAAGGCTGACTCTAGTCTTCCCCCAGCAAGCGCGGCACTCATACACAGCTATGTACAGGTGCTCATACACAGATATGCACAGGTGCTCAGCTGAGGTGTTGCCCTGCATAGAGGCAGAAGTGCGGAGTAGCTGACATCACAGCCACATCATCCTAGAAGTCCTAAGATGAGCCATTCATAACTACCTTTGTGGAAATCAGGGATCCGGTTCTGACCTCTCCATGTTGCTAAACCTTTTGGAACAACTGAGGAGGAGACTAAAATCAAAGCAGGTGAGACAGTGAAAGATTTCTTGAGGTCACATGGACACACTTACCTCAGTATGCCTCAGAGTTCAGGTTCCATTGGGGTGACCCATGTCTTTAGGAGAATCTATTTCTAAGCTTGCACATCAATGAACATTCCAGTGGAAGGCTTAGGCATCACCAAATAGCTACAGGATGATTGTGCTCAACTACTGAGGAGAAACACAAATCCTAAGAAAGGTTGTTAAGGAATTCCTCATGACTACATTAAACATCATGGATTAAAAAAATAATGTGGACCTCAGCTGCATTATCATAGCAGCTAAAGTTTGTAACATATAATTTAGAGAAAATCATAACCAAAGAAAAGAAGATAGCACCATTCATCTAAGAACAAACTTGAGAGCAGGTGGGAAATGCTTCAGGTAAAGAAGCTAAAAGGCTGTGTGTCATATGAATTTTTACTTCTGCTAAGTGGTATACAATCCTGAACAAGTCTTTGCTAATGACTTTGTGGTAGGTATTATTGAGAGTGTATGGATCTGATGCTGCAACATAGTAAATGAAAGACCAATGGGATTTATGGGCCATATTGAATTATAACTTTGGATATGTGTAAATGTTAAATGTATTTTTTAAAAGACATGGAGACAAATGATAGATAGATGAAAATATGTGACCGAAGACAGGGGCATGTGCATCCCTCTATATGAAGACACTCTATACAATTATAAATACATCTGTTTCTCTATCTTATTTTCTTAGTGCTTATCATGTTCTTGTGTCCCAGCCTCATGTTATTCCCAGGGCTTGGAAATTCCAGAGCCCACCAGCATTTAGGGGAAGAGTTTTTGCCAATTTATTTTGTATATTTCTTTGCCTCATCTCATTGATCTTTGTAGATTTAGGACAATCTTACATCATGACTCTTTACAACCATATCCATCTATAATAAATCATAACTATTTCTACTAAATCTGAAAAAGAGAAAAAATTCTAAATAATATGTTCATATATATTCTATGAACATGTAGAATATAAATGAAAACCAGGCATACAGAGAGAACAGAGGTCTAATGACCACAGAAACACATTTTTGTGAATTAATAAGGAGTAATTCTATTTTTAATAACCTGCCTTCATCAGTCAGAGATATAGCCCATTATCCCTTTGTGGCATATGTAGGAGTAGACTGACTCTGTTCCTTTGATTTTTTTTAGGTGAAATATATCATTCCCTTGACCTCACATGAAACTTTTTTCTGATTTTCTCTTTACTAATGTGCCATCTGACCTCACTACTAATAGCATGCCATTTTCATGAAAGAGATGTGTTGGCTTGTACAGAATATCCAGCAATATTGAAACAGTAAAGAAAAGGTGGCATATTCCTGAATAAGAATTACATGAAAATTCATGAAATATATGATATAAAAATATATACTGAGACAAATGTAAAGAAACAGATAAAATAAGGATGTCCACTCTCTTGGGACACAACTGATTGTGTGTAATTATTAATGTATATAAATTTTGACAAATATTGGGCTTCCTTGGGACATTTTCATACATTTAGTTTACTGAACCACTTTAACATCTTTCAGTTGCCATTTTTAAAGATTATAGTTTTATCTGAAATTGTGTGTGTGGTTGGATATCTGTGTGTATCCGTGCATGTCTCTGTGTGTATTTGTGTACATTACTACATATAACTTTGGATTTAAGAAGAAGGTGTTAGGTTCTCTGAAGGTGGTTGTGAGCTGCCCCACTTAGGTGCTAGAACTAAACTGAAATCCTCTATAAGAACAGCAAGCATTGTTCACTGAAGAGCCTTTTCTCAAATACTGTGATTAAAGAAAAGCATCCTCACTCTGTATTTAGCAGTTTGCACAGGTGTCTTATGTGAATAGTCTATGTGATCAGTTGATGTTTTATTTTCATAACTGTCTTACATTATCCTTAATATTATATTGTCTTAGTAAAACTGGGTAATGACACAGCCTAAACAGACATTCAGAAACACACCTCAACATACCTTGTTTTTGTCCTGGATCTCTCATGCAGGATTTTACTGGTGTAGATGTTTAAACTGGACTTACATAGGCGGAGTTGGGAAAATGCAGAGATTGAAGCAAACATGAAAGAAACTCAAGGTTAAACTAGCTCAATATGGACCACATGCTGCATGTATCACATTAAGAAGGAATAGAAATTTAAAAAGATGGAGAAATGATTGGTTCCCATTCAGGTACTCTGGAGGTATGCCAGGGTTAAGGATCCAGGAATCCACTTCCTCCCTTCATGCCTAAGCCATTGTCTAAGATACATGCAGCATGCTTGGTGTCATGGAGGAAAACTGGTGAGGAACATCTGGTCATCATCTGTCACATGACCATGTGGTGTCAGGAGGCAGGGCCTCCCCTGTCCAGACACTGACAGGCTGAGGCAGAGCCCAGGATCAGAATAAAAGGGTTGAATACAGAGCAACTCCATCCACTCACCTCCAGAGATACCCACAGATCCGGAGCTGACATTAACCTTGGTAAGTGTGCATGGGAGACAAGAGCAGAGACTTTTCCAGAGGGATTGCTAGTCTAGATCTGGAGGGCGGACTAGAGAACATATTGGTAGATCATTAAATGTGAGAAGAGTGAGGAGTGAGACAATGACAACATGGACATACAGAAGCCACAGTTCTGAGAGACACTGGAACGCTTGGGACATTCTGGCTCTGGAGAGTACATAGTAACTTCAGTGTTTAGGAACCCTCAAGAAAAGAGAGTGAGCAATGAGAAGTATATGCATCTGGACAGGTTTCAGGGAGGAGTCGCTTCCCCTCATTTCCTAAAAAGACTTCCAGTCAGGAATGAACAGCAGTCTCTTCTTTGAGTGTAGAAAGAAAGAGATTCCTGGTTCTGGGATTTGTTCACACACTACTTAGACCAATAGGACACCACAAGGCTGATACTGACCTTGTCATCCTTAGCTGAGCAGTTGATGATTTGGATACCTCTGAACTCTGACCTCACAAGAGGCCTTAAAGTTCCAAGGCAGCCATGAGAGGGTTTACATATTTTTCTGTCAGAGGCTCAGCTTGCTCCCTCAGTGACATACAAGGTGCTTTAGAATACTGACCTTAAACTAAAAACAGCTTCAAGTAATGGTTAATCTTTTCCGTTACAACCACTTTTCTCTGAAATAATCCATGTGCTGGCTCATGTAGAAGGACTAAGACCAAGAGATGTTTTCCAAGGTCACTAGATATTTATTCAGTGTGGCTGGATACCAGGTGACAATTAGTATCTCACTGGCATGGATATCTAAGTTTCTAAATTCATGATGAACATGGTATGACAGTGTAAATGATGTTGCTTTATCGTTGAAATTTTGCGGTGGGCAGAATGTGTCAGGTGGCTACAGTGTCTGTTGTGTGACATGTGTGGGATTGATTCTCTTGCAGCTTCTGAACACCCACAGGCCGAGATGTCCTGCCAGCAGAGCCAGCAGCAGTGCCAGCCCCCTCCCAAGTGCGCCCCCAAGTGCCCTCCCAAGTGCCAGACACCAAAGTGTCCCCCCAAGTGTCCTCCCAAGTGTCCTCCCAAGTGCCCCCCTGTGTCTTCCTGCTGTAGCCTGGGATCTGGGGGTTGCTGTGGCTCCAGCTCTGGGGGAGGCTGTGGCTCCAGTTCTGGGGGCTGCTGCAGCTCTGGGGGTGGTGGCTGCTGCCTAAGCCATCACAGGCCCCGCAGATCTCTCCGTCGCCATCGTCACAGCTCTGGATGCTGTAGCAGTGGTGGCAGCAGTGGCTGCTGTGGCAGCAGTGGTGGCAGCAGTGGATGCTGTGGCAGCAGTGGCGGCAGCAGTGGATGCTGTGGCAGCAGTGGTGGCACCAGCTGTGGCAGTAGCCAACAGTCTGGTGGCTGTTGCTGACCTGGTGAGGAAGACTCCAGACAAGTGTTGCAGGAGGAAGGCATGCTCAGAAGACTGTCCATGCAGCTACTCTCTCTCCTCCTGAATCCCTCCTTGTCCTGCCCTCGGAGATGCTGAAATCTCCCATGAAAGGCTCTGTATTCCACTCACCACATGACAATGTCCCTCTACCTCTTTGTTACAAATAAAAAGCCTTGCCAACCAGTCCTGACCAGACTCTTGCTCATCTTCTCAGCACCATCCTCATCCTCTCCCTTAGTCGTCTTTTCCTGCACACAGAGAGTGGCACTCACAGCTCTTGTCTCCTCCTAGACGCATGTGTGTTTCCTATGACTTTGTACCAACTAAGGTGGTCCTTTCAATAGTATCCAGACTTGATAACTTAGAAATGACAGTCACTCCTCACAATAATATAACCTGGGGACAAATCCAGTGTCAAGGTGAATGTTCACTATTAGACACTCATTAGAAGGTCGAAGATTCAATACTTACATTAAACAAGGACAATCAGCCAATAGTCAGTCTCTTGTCTTCAATTTCATTTTCTGTTACTCTTTCTCAGACAAAATTTGACCCTCAACTGCAGGAGTTACATAGTTTCCATCACTTTACTTTGTGGCTGTAACTGAGTTGTTATAATGTGGGAACTTCCATACAGCTGACCAATGACAGTGGTCTCATTCCTTCCTCTCTGCTGGTGGCTGCTGAAATCTTGACACTGATGAGACCAGTATTCAGAGTGGATGTGTGGCCATCTTTGCATGTGCCTCTCCATACTTCTGTGATTTGTTTTTCAAATCAAGTCTCTGCAATGGAACTCAGACAATGGCTTCATTGAACTGTGGTCTCCTTCAAGTCTCTAAGGCTGTCCTCTGTCATTGTAGGAAACAGGCTTTGTCATCATTGTCCCACTGTTACTTCACACTGGATTGACCCCCAGATGCTCTCATTCATCCTGTCTACCTCCTGCTTAAGTTTATATACACATATGTATATAAATATGCTAGAAAAATGTCTTATCACATTTTAATCCCAGTGCTATATATGAATTAAACACAATAAAATTCATTAATTTAAATGTAAAGTTTAATTATTCTTTCAAAAATATTTAGAGGTACATGCCTCAAGAAATAGTGTACTCACTGTGAATATGGCTGAGAACTTGTCACATGTTATATGAATAAATTGTAAAACAGAATTGCCCTCCTATAACATTTATATGAAATGGCTGATGAACATAATTTTAATAAAATTCATTACATGTTTTAGAAATCACCATTGAACTGATAGAAGATTTCAAGTATGCAACATATGATGCATATTACATGTTATGAGCATGCACTGGTATTTCATTCTATAATCCATAAATGATAGGAAATGGACAATATCTTTCCTTCTGTGTCTGATGATTTTAACAATGTTATGGCTAGGTTTATACCTTCAACTGTAAATGACTTAACTTACTCATTAGAACTCAATACAATTCCATTGATCATGCACACCACATTTCTTTGTCCACATGTGATGGTCATCTAGGTTGGTTCTATGTGGTGGCTGTTTTCAACAATGCAGTGACACATGTCAGTCTGTAGGGGTCTCTGTGGGATGCTGATTTGATGACTTTGGGCATGTACCTGGAATTGTTGGAGCTAGATCCCAAGGTAATTCTAGTTTCAATTTTGAGGTTCCTTTTCTCCAACATCCTCACCATCATTATTTGCCACAGGTGTTTTTGATGGTGGCCACGATGTCTGCTGTGAGCTGGAATCTCAGTGTCAGTTTCATTTCCATTACCCTGATAGCTAATAAAAATAAATATTTTCCATATATTGCTGGACACTTCTCTTTTGTATACTGGCAGCTCATTTCATTTCCCTTTCATTATTTGCATGATTTTTATAGTAACGTTTTAATTCTTTGTTTAGTCTAGGTACCTATTAAACATCAAATATATAGTTCTCCACAATTATCTCTCATTCTGCAAGTTGTCTCTTTACTGATTCTTACCTTTCCTGAGAATGAACTTTTCAAGGTCTTGGAAATCTTCACAATTCTCTTTCCCAAAACTGAAGAGCATTTTAGGAAGTACTTACTCCTTCTTATACCCTGAAGTCTTTTATCCTTGATTGTCTCAAGTAGATGTCAGACTTAGGTTTGAGTCTTTGACCCATTTGAGTTGATTTTACACTGGGTGAGAGAAATGGATTGAGTTTTTTCCTGTGTATGATGATATCCAGCTTTCTCAGCACTAGCACTGAAGGGGTGCTCTCCTATTCAATATTTTAGTGATACTTTCATTAAAGATCTTGTGGCTGCATCTGTGTAGGTTTATCTCTGGGTCCTGAAGTCTATTTTACTGGTGTACACATCTATTTTCTGGCAGCATGCAACAGTTTTTGCTATTTAATATAATAATTCTGTTTTGGAATATACTTGAAAGTTAGTATTTTGATGCTTTTGACATTGTACTTTCTGTGTTTGGTTGTTTTTTTTCTTCTGCTGGCATGAGCTCTTTATTTTTTTTCCATCAAAGTAAAATCTTTATTAGCTTCTCAATAGTTCAAAGAGAAGTAGGAATTAATTACAAAACTCAAGTACCATGTAAGTTTTAAGATTGCATTTTATATTTCTGTAAAAATTACTATTGTATTGTATTTGATAAAGATTGAACTGAATTTTGAGATTTCTTTATGTAATATAGTTATTTTCATAATATTAAATCTACCTATATGTGAAAACATACGTTCCCATCTTTTATTGTGTTTTCAAATTTTTTTCTTCAGTTTTCATTGTGGAACTCTTTAACCTCCTTGCTCCTGTTTTTCCAAGGTTTTCTCTTTTTTATGCTACCTTTAATGTGACTTTTCTTCGTTTCTCTGTCTGGATTTCCAGTGTTGGCTTACAGAAATGTGACTGAACTTGGAAGATTGATTTTGTAGCCTGCCACATTGCTGAACATTGTAGCTAAGATTTTTTTTTCTGGTAGAATTTTAGGGCATTTCACATAGAATACTACTGTCTTCTCACAGAGATAATTTGTCTTCTTCCTTTTTCTGCCTGCATTCCTTTTCTGTCTTTTTCTCCCAGAGCTCTAGATAAGATTTTAAGAATGAAGAAAGTGGACACCCTTGTTTCAGTCCCAATTATAAAGGAAATAATTGTACATTCTCCCGATAAGGTCATGTTTGATATAACCTTTCTAGCCCTAGTTTCTTCAGTGCTTTAATCATGAATGATGTTTGATTTTTCTCAACATCATTTTGGAACCAATGGAAATGATTATCACGTTCCTGTCCCTAGGTATAGTCATATACTCTATTGCATTTAATGATTAGTAATTGCTCAACCATGCTTGCATCCATGAAATCATACCAACCATCATGGTAAACTATTTATTTAATGTGCTCCATTCTCAATGTTTTAATAAAATATTTATTAATTCATTAATTTTCTTACATGTTGTCCTGTAGTTTGTTGATATTCACCCCTTTTCCTCCTACTAAGACCTACAAGATATCTTGTATGTCTTTTTCCAAATTCAAGCCCTCCTTTTGGTTTTGTTTTATAACTAAGAATGTCTGTGCTGCCCATAAACTGCTGAGTGTAGAGACCTTCTCTGGAGCACAGCCCGCCTAGGAGTGGCCACACACTTATATAAAACTGAGTCCCTTATACCAGGAGTGATTAACTGTCTACATCTACTCAGCATGCAGGCAATCACAGATGCTGTGACTTATGAATAAACCAGTCTTGTCACATCCAGAAGACAATGTTTTTCTTTGATCTTGCTTGACCCATGACTCTTACAATCTTTTCACAACCTCCTCTGTAATATTCCATGTGTTTTGGGATGGGTGTGACATAGATATATCATTATTGGCTGATCAATATGCTGGCACTTATTCTCTGAACTTTGATCAGTTGTGATGCACTGAATTAACCATTGTCAATGACACAAAAAAATGTTCTGATAAGATCTGAGGACTGACTAATCTAGAATGTAGTGGTCTCTGCTGTTTGCAAACACCAGTGGCAGCAG